GAGCTGAGGAAACCCTACGTTGTGCAGGAGGCGGAAACTACACGGCAGAACCGTCAAAAAAAAAACCGTAAAGGGTTTTAGCTGGGTTTCTTTTCTCAAATACCCACAGGCCACAGGCATGCGTATCATCGCATTAAAGAAGAAGCAGCAAAGAAGCCGGGTATATACAAGATCTTTCAGCCAACGCTAATCACGAGAATTAGCCTCCACATCCACCACGCACACCCACCCTGCCTACTATGATACATGTTTCCCTAGTCCAACCTCATGCCAATGACAACAAGGCAAAGCCACAGAGCAACCCAGTCACGTCACAACCATCGCCGAGACTTCTACAACAAGACCAAAATCCAAGGCTAACACATACCAACGTACCGCCACCCATTTGCGCCAAGAGGAAGTCGGCAAGTGAACGGCAAGGCCTGAGCGAACCTAGGGAAGGTACCGTCGTGAGGGGACCAGAGATGGCGTACATTGCGCCCAGGAGGCCCACGCCCAGAGTGGCAGCCGACTGACTCAAACCATGATACGTCTCCAACGTATCTACTTTTCCAAACACTTTTGCCCTTATTTTTGACTCTAACTTGCATGATTTGAATGAAACTAATCCGGACTGACGCTGTTTTCAGTAGAACTGCCATGATGTTGTTTTATGTGTACAAAAGAAAAGTTCTCGGAATGTCCTGAAAATTCACGGAGCGACTTTTTGGAAAATATAAAAAATATTGGCGAAAAAATCAAGACCAGGGGGCCCACACCCTGTCCACGAGACAGGGGGGCGTGCCCCCTCCCCCTGGGCACGTCCCTCTATCTCGTGGGCCCCCTGGACCTCCACCGACCTCAACTCCAACTCCATGTATTCACGTTCGGAGAGAAAAAAATCAGAGGGAAAGTTTCATCGCGTTTTACAACACAGAGCCGCCGCCAAGCCCTAATCTCCCTCGAGAGGGCTGATCTGGAGTCCGTTCGGAGCTCCGGAGAGGGGGATTCGTCGCCGTCGTCATCATCAATCATCCTCCATCACCAATTTCATGATGCTCACCGCCGTGCGTGAGTAATTCCATCGTAGGCTTGCTGGACGGTGATGGGTTGGATGAGATTTACCATGTAATCACTTTAGTTTTTGTTAGGGTTTGATCCCTAGTATCCACTATGTTCTGAGATTGATGTTGCTATGACTTTGCTATGCTTAATGCTTGTCACTAGGGCCCGAGTGCCATGATTTCAGATCTGAACCTATTATGTTTTCATGAATATATGTGTGTTCTTGATCCTATCTTGCAAGTCTATAGTCACCTATTATGTGTTATGATCCGACAACCCCGAAGTGATAATAATCGGGATACTTCTCGGTGATGACCATAGTTTGAGGAGTTCATGTATTCACTATTTGCTAATGCTTTGTTCCGGTTCTCTATTAAAAGGAGGCCTTAATATCCCTTAGTTTCCGCTAGGACCCCGCTGCCACGGGAGGGTAGGACAAAAGATGTCATGCAAGTTCTTTTCCATAAGCACGTATGACTATTT